AGAGGAGGTGGTGGAGAAGGACTTCTTGGAGGTGTGCTTGGTGGTGGTGATGGAGGAGGTGGTAGAGAAGGAGGAGGAGGACTTCTTGGAGGTGTGCTTGGTGGTGGTGGTGGTGGTCGAGGAAGAAGAGGACTTCCTGGAGGTGTGCTTGGTGGTGGCAAAAAAGGAGCAGGAGAAAGGGTACCTGGAGGCATGCTTAGAGATAGGAGCATCAGGGCTACTGGTGGTGGCAACAGTGGAGGTCCAGGTGCCAGCGGTCTGCTGGGCCAAGGAGGCTTACTGGGTGATGGAGGTCTGCTTGGCACTGCAGGAATTCTTGGTGGAGGTGGGGGCTTCCTCGGCAATGGAGGCCTGCTGGGCAACGGAGGCCTACTTGGTGGAGGTGGAGTCCTTGGCATCCTTGGGGAAGGAGGTCTTCTCAGCACGGTCCAAGGACTGACTGGGTAAGAACGTCTTGTTGATGTATGCTCTTCATAGGGACCCCAGCTTTAGAAACTGTATCCTTGGGCAAATAAAAGAATGGTCTTCTGGTGATGGATCACTGAGGCATGCTTCTCAAGTTGGTGATCATTAGATGTCTTGCAACTTCCAGAATTTAACTCAAATTAAGAATACGAGAACTTTTTCTAGCAGACTTCCTCATTGTCTATGCCCGAAGGTACACTTGGTCCTGGGTGTTCCAACATTCCAGAAGACACTTAAGACAATCTTCGTCATGTCAACTCATAAAAACATTTCTATGGCCATTTTAAGAGTTGCCAACAGAAAGGGAGGAGGAAAAAGGGTTTGGAAGTGCAGTATGGCAGCTTGCAAACTAAAAGTGCATTCCATAAATAGTTTTTCAAAGATAGTTAACTAGGTGCCTGAAGTTTCTGCCGTGCAAAATTCTAACTGGAGAGCATGATTGATGACTCTGGGCTATGGAGGTGTCCCGTTGGAGAATAGGAATTAGGATACACCCAGGGGGTGGAGAAACCAGGATCAAGGGTGACAGTGAATTATGGGTCTCAGAGTCGGCTACACCCAGGTGGTGCCGGCATGTTAACTCCCAATAAATCCTGTGTAGTTTTGGAAGTTTGGCTCGAGGCTCATGATTTAAATGGGGGTGACTGCTGGAATCCTGACACTTCATCAGTTTTGTTCAGAGATGAAGGTTTTGAACTGACATTCACCTTTTTCTGTAGTGTTCTCTTGATTTTAATTATTCCCTGTACTAGTCTCTTGCTTGGGGTTTGAGTAACCAGGAAAACTATAAATATAAAACAAACAGATAAATTAAAACCATCTAATTGTAACATGGAACTTAATTTGAGATTGGACGGTGGACATGAAACCCTGTGTGCATTTAGCTGGGAGCCTTTCTGATTTCCGGTCTAAATTGGTTGCTCTACAGTTGATAACTATTGATTCTGTCATTGTAGGTCAATGGAAAATGGGATTGTCTGAACGACTTTGCTTCTACTTGCAGATTGCGAATTGTGGAGCTGACCCTTCCCAAGATCAACCTGAGGCTTCTACCTGGCATTGGGGTTCACCTGGATTTGTACACCAGAGTGGCACTTAATGGGAAGAGGTAAGCAATATGGTGAACAGTTGAGAGAGGTAAGAGAACATCACCTGTGAAAGGAGGGGGTAGGATTTGTGGAAAGGAGGGGGAGGAGGAGGAGGAGGAGGAGGAGGAGGAGGAGGAGGAGGAGGAGGAGGAGGAGGAGGAGGAGGAGGAGAACTGTGAGGTCCTTGGTGCTTTCTGAGCATGTTGTTGTTCATGTTGTTCACGAAACATCTGTAAGAAAACCACCAAACTCAGAGACCACCAAGCACCCCACAAACCAAACCATGGGTGACCTGAACAGCGTTTTCTTATCCTTTCTGTTTCAGCCTTCTCGGTTTGCTTGACGTTGCGGTGGAGGTGAACATCACAGCCATTGCCCGTCTGACAATGGATGGCACTGGCTACCCCACACTGGTGATTGATCACTGTGACACGCTCCTGGGAGGCATTAAAATTAGACTTCTTAGAGGGTGAGCATCATCAAAGAGAACTTCAGTTCCTCCTGTGCCATCACCTTCCCAGCCACCTTCATATTTTCATTTGTATGTGTTTGTGATATAAATGCAGGTAGACTTCTCAACATCCAGCCATTGTTCAAAATGACAACAATGCTGAATGAATGCGATTTGTGCCTGATCTGCGTAGTTTCAGCTGTTGCAGTGTCCCCTCAGCCACCAGACCACAATTGATGCACTTTTTGACCAGCTCACAATTATGACATTGCAACGTTCGACGCTCATGTGATTCCCATTTACGACCTTTCCTGCCGGTTTCCCACAGAGTCACTGGGGAAGCCGACAGGAAATCGCTAGTAACAGATGCTCGCTTAACACTCTCTGTGGTGATGCACTTAACCAAAATAATTGGGATTGCTGGAGCTACCTTTGCAGTGGAGTGAAGTCACACTTAATGACCACATTGTTTAAGAGTTTTCGGTTTCAATTACCATCGTTAAATAAGGACTACCTATGAGGACAATTTGGTTTATTTTAGCCAACTCGAAGGCCATCATTTAAGTCTGCCTTTTAATTATGCCTACTTATTCTGTAAAAAGACATATATGTGCCACCAATGACTCTTCCTTACTCACCAACACACAATTAAAGGTGGAATTTTGAATTTTTAGCCAGCTCTTGTGTATTTTCACAGCTTCGTAAAGTGGCATAAAGTTAGGAAAAGATTATCTGAAGCGCTCAGTTGCAGAAGGTCTTCTTGGACCACACATGGACAGCTTCCATGTGCCTCTAAAATTATTGCCCCCTCCAAGAAGAGGTGAAGGCCATCCTCAAGGTTACCTCTCTTGGTCTTCTGAACATCAGGTCCACCATAACTTAGAGGAGGGAAATCAAGAACCTGAAAACCTTTGTCAATTTGCTCCTTCTTTCTTGGCGAGAAGACTTGAAGGTTTGTAGGACCTAAACCAAGAAGACTCGATCAGATCTGTGCTAATGGAGGTGCCACGTTGCTCCCCAAAATGTTCTTCTGCCAATTGTCAAACCGGAGATGTTCCTCACATCCTTGTTTTTATTCTTCTCTGCAGCCTTCTTCCAATTGTGGACAATTTATTAGCCCGTGTCCTGAACAGACTTCTTCCTGATCTGGTAAGTGAGGTGATCAGTCTGGATGGGCAAGTAGCTCAGAACCATAACCAACAAGACTTGTGTGGCAACGAAGGCCCCAACAGGACACAAAGGCTCCCAATCACAAAACTGAATGTCTGTGGAGGTTCTCCCTCATCCAGGCCATGGTTGTCCCAAAGGTGCTTTTTCAAGACGCAACGGGAATTTCTTTGTTTTTCCTTGAAGACATGTTGCTTCTCCTCAAAGAAGCGTCTTCAGTTCTGAGAACTGGACTGAAGAAGCTTCTTTGTCTCAGCCAGTCCTTGTGTATTGAAGATTTGTCTTTAAATTCCAGCTCCTCTTTAGGACAATGATGGTTTATTCCAGGGGTGTCCAATTTGGGCAACTTTAAGACTTGTGGACTTCAACTCCCAGAATTCCTCAGCCAGCAAAGCCAGCAAAGCTGGCTGAGGAATTCTGGGAGTTGAAGTCCACAAGTCTTAAAGTTGCCAAGGTTGGACACCCCTGATGTAACCAGTCAAAAAAACGGATCATGTCCCTTTTTTTCAGCGCCGTTGTAACTTTGAATGGCCACTGAATGAACGTTGGCTACCTGTAAACAAATCTGGGTGTATAATGGGGGCAGGACGGATGGACAAACAGCTGCAAACTTTCTACAAAAGAGCTAGAAAAAGTAGGTTTTATATAAAAGCATAAAAATATCAGGATTTTCTTTAAAAAATCATTTCTCCATCTGAGCACACTGCAAAGAAGTGAAACCCAACGAATCACCTTGAACAGGTTTGGAATTCAGAAGGCACCTGGTGAATTATGCAGAAATCCTTTTGAATCTTAAGATCCTAAAAGTGATTGCTGGCTGAGGAATTCTGGGAGTTGAAGTCCACAAGTCTTAAAGTGGCCCAAGTTGGACAGCCCTGGTTTATTCAATATATCAGCAAACAACAAATACTCTAATCAGGCAAGAACGGCTAAAAGCCAGGCAATGTTACCGTTGGGTTTGAGTTTGCTCTCTTTCCTTTTTTTAACCATTATCATGAGACACACCCTACCACACCCAGTACGAGTTCTGGCCACGCCTAACCTATTACCTTCTCAATGCTAGTAAGCCTATAACCCGTCTACATCTCTAACCTATTCCAACCCTCACTAACTGATCCCCACCTGGTGCCACCTTCACCGTGTCTTAACTCAATGCTTCATTACCGTCTATATCCGCCCCAAACCGCTCTAACAATACGCACCACATCGATACATGAATAAAAGGCCATTTCCAGCCTTGCAGTTGTTGCAGAATCCATCCTGTAGCTCCCAGCTCTGCTGAGTCATTCTAAAGCAACCCTCAACCCCATCAGTTAGGACACCAGCAGCAACACACATCCGGTGTCAGCAGAGCAAAGGTGATTCACGCAGGGTACCATTTATGGAACCTTCGTTGGAGATGCGGTGCATCCGCCCCAAAGGATATCCTTTTCATTTAACTATCTATCTATCTTTCTATCTATCTATCTATCTATCTATCTATCTATCTATCTATCTATCTATCTATCTATCT